TGGACGGTGCAGATAACAGAAAAGAGAGAGACAGATTGTTCCTTGAAACTGCAAGGCCAGTTTGGGGTATGTTTTGACTGGGCTGAGAGATGGATTGCATCCTTTCACTCCCAGTCAGTCATGGGTGGCTCGGTGCCTAATTTCAACATGTACTAATAGTTTGCAAAATGTGTATGTTTTGCTCTTTCTCTCATTTGGCACTGCTCTTCACTTTCTTGGGATCCATCATGCAAGGAACCTTAAATCATGCTTTGTCACTCTTCCTTCCTTTCCCTTTGATCGCTAGCCAAGGACAGGGGGAACGAGCTCTTGCCAGGCTTCCTTTCGGTCTTTCTTGGGAGGCTCAAGCATTCCAGTTCTTCTTTTCGGATTATCACCATCGTCAGCATCATGTTCTTTGTATGCCGCCTTTCCTTAGTTAAAGTAATGCTCAAGGCAGCTTACAGCATGAAAATATCTACATAATTACAAACACAACTGAAGCAATTATAAACAATGATTAAACACATCCAAATGTACACATCTGAACAATTTCCACATTAATCATAATAAGATCTAAAAATCAATATAAAAATAATAATATCTATAACAGCAACAAAAGACTTTCGGCACTTTTAGTGGTTGCTTCATTTAAATATAACTTTGTCAGACTTGACGCAAGTCACAGTCTGCTGGGAGCGACTGGCAGAAGTGAGCTGAGGCAGACCTGGGCAGAGTGAAATAATCAGGATAACTGAGGAGTCTTCTTCCTGTGGTGTCAAACTCTCCACATACCCCTCTGTCCAGCATCCTGAAAGGCACCACGCTATTTTCCCTGCTAGAGGATACATTCTTGCAATTGCCATTTTACAATTACTTACTAAGATCTAAATATCTCACTTCGATGTCTGCACAAACAGCCTGGCTTCCTTCTATGGGCTTTGCTGCTTCTGATTCAGTAGCATTCAGCTAATTTGCATCTTAGTGACTGCTCCTTTACTCATACCACAAAACTAAACTAGGGGTGAGGGAATTTTGGACCATGAAATGTGGGGAGGTAAGATGTGCGTCCATAGCTCATTGCCTTCCAATGTGCTCCTCACTTTTTAAGGATTTTTGAGGATTATTGCACTTTTGTTGGTAGCATTGGTACGTGCAATTAAGCACATGCTTGTTTTATTTTGTCGCCAAGGGAGTCTGGTAACTAGATTTTTGAAGTATGAAATCGCAAAGAAAAACGAACACCAGAAACCCCACCTTTCACGTAAAGAGAAGAATCTACTTTTTCTCCCAACTGTAAAGTTGATTTTTTTACCATAGTAACACCACATTATATGCTACAGCTTCCCACCATTTAGATGGAGGTGAAATAACTCGTGTTTGTAAATAGCTTGCTACCTGATTGCTTATGGGAACTAAAAATTCCATCCAGGCTCCAGATCACCAGGTTGGGAAGGTTCTGTAATCCCCCCCGCTCCCCCCCCCCCGCCTTCCAGTCTCTCCCTCCCTGCCTTCCTCTCCTATAAAAGGATCAGGTGTATTTAAGCAGACATTTTATGAAATTATTCACAATATAGGTCATATTTGCACTACATAACAAATGAATTACCGAGACATCAAATAACACAGAACTGCAGTATGTCACAAGTGAAGATGCTGTCTTAACAACAACACTTTCTGTTTATAAATAATGCTATTGTATATAGGCACACTTTGGTCAACTCTTCATAAAGCACCTTGGAAGAAGCCAGAGGCTTCTGCACTCAGAATGAGATGCCTTGAATAGCTACTTTGGTCTTTTTCAAACGAACAAAATAAACAGAAATACATAACAATTCAAGCAGCAGCAAGTAAAAACATAATGAAATGCACAGCACCAAAAAACCAGATTTAAAATTGGTGGATAAGAAAGTGCATTGATAAATAATAAATAATAATTTATTTACACCCCACCCTTCCTGGTTTAAAAACCGGGCTCAGGGCGGCTAACAGCAAATATAAAACATTGATTAGAATGCAACTTTAAAACAGCATAAAATACAACATAAAATGCAGCATCAATATCAATAAAATTCAAAAATTCAGGGGTCATTTTTTTGGGGGGGAAAGAACAAAACCCAGTTAGTACACATCAAATGATCACCAGGGCGAACTGGCCAAGTTGGTCCTACCAGGGCCAGCAGGAGACCAGGGAAGAGTGTAAATGTGGGGTCCCAGAAGGCTTTCTTCATAAAAAAGGAAAGGGAAAAGGGAATAGAGGATCAGGCTAATTCAAATTGAAGGCCAGGCAGAATAGCTCTGTCTTACAGGCCCTTACAGATCAAGTCCTGCAGGGCCCTGGTCTCATGGGACAGAGCATTCCACCAGGTCAGAGAGGTCACTGAAAAAGCCCTGGCCCTGGTGGAGGATAGTCTGGCTTCCTTAGGGCCCGGGACCTTTAAGCTATTATTATTCATGGACCTTAGGGTGCTCTGTGGGACATTCCAGGAGAGGCAGTCCCGTAAGTACGATCTAAAAAGTTTGGGAAAATAAAAAGAAACAATTTATTTTAGAGCAGGTTGTGTATTGCATCCATCACATTACAAGTCGTCACCTGCAAGTGGAAGTGGACCTAGCAAGGAACAACAGATGTTTCAGGTGGAGGGCTCCTGTTTGGAGTGTGGGCCAGCTCAACCACCTACGCCTTTGTTCAGGATACTCCGTTTCATTAACCCCCTCCTAGTTTTCTGACACACACACAACTTTCCCCCAACAGATGCTCAGCTTCTGTGGCCACTGAAAAGGGGCTGATAAAGGGGCTGCCTTCCTGTCAGATCCAAAATTTGTTGTTGTTAGGGTCTGCTCAGTAGGTGCTGTGAGCCTGAAGCAACCCCCCCCCCGGCACAGAGGCAAGTGTGCCCTTTCCCTGAGTACCAGCAAATGCTATTAAGTGTCATGACCACTGCTGAATATAGAGGTCATCTATTGCTGCCATAGCTAATAACCACTCACAGATTTTCCCTGCATTTGTGTAATACCCTTCTAAAGCCAGCAGCCATCACTACAGCATCTGACAGCTAATTAACTATTATTGTTTGTTAACTAAAAGGTAAAGGTACCCCTGACCGTTAGGTCCAATTGCGGACGACTCTGGGGTTGCGCTCTCATCTCGCTCTATAGGCCGAGGGAGCTGGTGTTTGTCTGCAGACAGCTTCCGGGTCATGTGGCCAGCATGAATAAGCCGCTTCTGGTGAACCAGAGCAGCGCGCGGAAACTCCGTTTACCTTCCCGCTGGAGCGATACCTATTTATACTTGCACTTTGATGTGCTTTCAAACTGCTAGGTTGGCAGGAGCAGGAACCGAACAACGGGAGCTCACCCTGTTGCGGGGATTCGAACTGCAAGTCCTAGGCTCTGTGGTTTAGACCAGTGTTTCCCAACCGGTGTTCCGCGGCACACGAGTGTGCCGTGAGACGTTGCCTCGTGTGCCGCGAGATGCCTGGAGGGAGGCGGGCGAGTCGGGCGGCGAGAGGCGGGGCGGCGGCGGCGAGGAGAGGCCGCGCCTCCTGCTGCTGCCTGGCGCTCCTCCTCGCAGCCGGCAGCGCTGCCTGGGCGCCTCCGCGCGACTCTGCCTCGCTGGGTTTGGTCTCCCAGCAGAGACGGGTCACACGCGCCCCTCCCTCCCTCCCTCAGCCTGCGCGGAGGGAGAGCCAGAGAGAGGCATCGCTCCTGCGCGGCGGGAGAGGGAGCAGCCGGAGCGATGCCCCAAACGAACGCATGGGACCGGAGGGGAAATCCTCTCCGAGGCGGATTGAGCGCAGCTGAGAGAAGCCTTTCGAGGAGCTGCCGTGTCCCCTGGAAACCCCCTTCCCAGCTCTGCCTCAGCCGCCGCCGCCTCAGTTGCCGCCGTCCCTCAGTCCCTCGCTCTGCTGCCTCCTCCCACCCCCAAAGCTTGGAGGTTCCCCAGCAAGGGGGAGGGAAAAAACTTTCACTTTTGTGCGTCCCTCCCGGCGTGACGCTGCGCGCTGACGTCACGGGGCGGGGCTTTAATGGTGGTGTGCCGCGAGATTTTTTTTCAGTAAACAGGTGTGCCGTTGCCCAAAAACGTTTGGGAAACACTGGTTTAGACCACAGCGCCACCCGCGTCCCTTGTTCATTAACTATGTACCAAATAAAGAAGCAATGTCCTGGAACTCCTGCCAACCAGTTTCATTGGATAAGCGCAAGTTCTGCTATTATTAGCAAGAAAAACTTCTCTTTGTCTCCTTCTTCACACAGTGTATAATTTTATAAACCTCCCATCATATACCGCATTGCCAGTGACAAAATGACTATCATGGAGGGCATGTCATAACACAAAATTTGAGTGCAGCCACTGTGAAGCTTTTCCCACAATTGTATGGGAAAAGGCTTTGGGAAAATGTTCCTTGGCTTCTTAGCGTAAGACTAGAGGTAAACATTATATTAATCCTTTTTAGCATTTTCCTCCAAAAATAATGTCAATAGCAAGCATAGCCACACTAAACTCTGTCTTCACACATTTACAGCAATTGTATCAAATAGAAAACTGGTCTTCAGAGTGCACTTCCATGTGTGGTTGTGCATACACACATTGATTTTGGTCATTTTGTAAATCTCAGAAATGATGATCCAGAGTGTTACAATGGGTATGCCTGAGTGGTATTATGCTTATGAAAGTTCCCTCAGATTCAAAGGTGATCGGGGTGCAAAACTAGTTGTACAGTTCTTTGGAACTTGGTCTGTTTATAATATGTTGTATGTTAGGCTTCTTGCCTGTAACGATAGTACAGTATTTGTCTTTTGGTTGTACTCCATTCCTCTCAATGCAGAGCACATTTTTCTGAGATGTTCTGAGCTATCACTGCAAGTAATTGGCCCCTCTGCTTTCTAGTGAACACTGGTAGCTGTGTTCCCTTCATCTCTAGTAAATATTAATGTCAGGCTGCTTAATATTAGTTTATGACTATAGTACTCATTCAAAAACAGCCCTGTATTTTGAAATGGAGACTTAAAGACCAATGTATAGTTTTTTCTTTATTTATTCTCTGTAAGGCCACATTGAACTGTATTCCTGTAAAATGATCCATTTGTAAATAAGATTCTTTAAAACAAAACAATTCCTTGTGCTTCTGAAGTGAAAGTGGAGGGTGGTCAGTCCTGAGTTCATTGATCAGTCTTCATGGTTTAATGGCCTTGCAGATCTGAGTTTAGCTTCTCCCCAGCACAGTAATAATGGGGGGGGGAGACACTACATTAATGGTGAGAAGTACAGTCTAACAGCAAAGTTCATGTTAATAAAGGAGGTTATTTGAGCAGCTGGAATGAAGACTGGAATGAAGAACGACTTCTGCCTCACTAACACAATGTATGGAGACATTCAAGGAATGTAGGGGCAGTAGTTGTGGTCTGTGATCCACTGCCTAATGCTTGCCAAAGACACTGTTCTACCAGCCACTGCCAAAAAAGAGGAAATGCAATGTCAAAAAGGGAGAGCAGATTTACAGATGCTAATTTCTATGAATAAAAGCAAATTTAGAAATAATTACTGCCAGTGCTATTTTTCTAGAAAAAGAGGTGCTGGAACTCACCATTAAAGCCTCCTTTATTTTCTTATAATGGCAATGGTGCCCACCTGAGAGGTGCCGGGACTGAGTTCCAGTGAGTTCTGGCTGAAAAAAAAGCCCTGATTACTGCAATTTAAATAGAAATTCAGTACATCTCACCACAGTGCAGAAGAGTGTGACCATGACATATGTGCCAGTCAGCTGTCCTGGTAATAACCACTGAATGGGCAACCTTGAGAACCCTGCTCTCTCTTCTTTGACAACACTACCCTTCACGTGGAGAACTGTCCTTCATCAAGTAAGACACATAGCCACCCTACAACTGAGCCAGAGCAAGGAGCAGTCATGACACTGTATGGACACCATGACCTCTGGAAAAGCACCTCATCCCAAAAAACCACTACTTCTCCACAGCCTAGTAGAGCAAATGTCAGAATTGCAGGAGGGCCCAGCGCCAATGCTGCCTTGTTGCCATTGCAACTAATGTGGCTCAGCTGGATGGCAGCTATGTTGAGCCGAGTTTTGAATCTGTTCAGCGAACGAAGTGGCTGGCACTGCCCCTAACATATACATGTCAGAGCATCATTCATGAAGTGATGCTAGCCAGTGTCTCAAATGGGACCAGAGCAATTCTTGTTTCCAGGGCCAGCCCAAGACCACTTGGCACAAAATGGTGCCCTCCTCCCTGGCAGGAAAGAAGTGGTGAGTGCACATCTATGTCAGGAACAAGGGGGTAATAAAGATCTGCATTCGGACTACCCCTGTTCGCTACCCCTGTGGATCCAGCTGCCCAAGGTGGTTGCCTCACCTTGCCTCATGGCTGGGCTACCCCTTCTGGGTTCAGGCGGCTGCGCCTCCATCCCTGCTGGGCAGTTGGCCAGCACATACGCACAGAGCAGCCCCAGAATTCCACTCGATTCCTCAGCCACCATCACTAACAAGCAAGTGAGAGAGGGCCACATGTCACTTGGCCAGGACTGAGGCGTTCTCAAAGTAAAGGAAGGATTGAACTCTGATTAATAAGAATACACACAGAGGCTTGAACCAGCAAGACTCTGGGAAGGGTGCATATACTAATCTCTCTCTCCACCCCCTGGCCCAGGTCGTTTTATTAACAAAACACTTTTTTACAGAGTGTTCTAAGAACCAATCAGATTTCTTCTGAGCATTTCAACAAACCCCACCTGGGGAAAAGTTAAACTACCAAAACTAATTAAGCATGGGGTAAATAAAACAGAACTACAAAGGAGTGCATTTGGCAACCCCGGGAGGTGATAAACAAGCAATATATATGATAAGAAGGATGGCCAGGAAGACAGCGATCATTATTACCTTCAGGTGAGATCTGTTTCCTGGCCCTATGATTAACATCCTAAGATTAACAGAAAAGATACATCAAAAGAAGCTGCCTACTTTCTTTGATGACTCAGGATGCCTGCCTGCAGTACGTGACTTGTCAGGAAAGAGAAATGGAACAAGGATGCAGAGGTGTGGATTGATCAAGAATCGTATCAAAATAGTTCAAACCCAGTCAATGCAATGCTTTCATTGCTGACACAGATGGCTTACTCTATATTTGTTATACCGTATATTTCGTCCTATAGTGCGCACTGGCCCATAGGGCGCACCTAGTTTTTTTTGGGGGGGGGATAAAGAAAACTTTTTATTTCCTCCCCAGGCGCAAGGCTGGGGCGGGGGAAGCCCGAGCTTCACCCGACCCCAGCCCCCAGAACAGGCTGCTATCCGCAAGCCTAGGGAGCCCGCGGGAACTCCCGCCGGGCTCCCAAGGCTTGCGGACATCTGCCATAAGCCCGGGGTGCGCTGCGGAGCGCTGCCCGGGTTTCGGGCTGCAGGATGCTGTCCGCAAGCCTTGGGAGCCCGGCGGGAAGTCCCACCGGGCTCCCAAGGCTTGCAGATAGCTTCCTGAAGCCTGGAGACCCCTCTCGCTCTCCAGGCTTCATCGAAAGCCTGCATTCGCCCCATAGGACGCACACACATTTCCCCTTCATTTTTGGAGGGGGAAAAGTGCATCCTATAGGGCGAAAAATACGGTAATTCCTCATAGCAATCCCAACTGATCACTACACGGGACCATCCCATAGCAGGAGCCAGGCTGACTCCCAGGACCTTACGCTTGTTGAGCTGTTGAAGAAGAGACACAGCCCCACACCAGCAACCAATCCATTCAGTTGCTAATCTTTTGTTTAAGGGGAGGAAGATGGTGTTTGAAAATTTAATTGGAAGGGGAGAGAAGTCAGTTATTCATAGGACTTTTCTACTTATCATTTCTATTAAAGTGCATTGCAGCTTTTGTGGTAATGATGTGTTCTCTTATCAGAGCATCCAGCTTGAGGGCGAATACAACTTAACCAAAACATGCTGTGGTGGTTTACTCCTTCACTTTCATCTCCGCGAAACCATCTATCTCAGGGGTTGTCCACCTGGTCCCTACTGGCCACTAGTGGGCGTTTCAGGCTTCTAGGTGGGCGGGAGGGGGTTCTGCAGCACAAGCTGAATCCTCCTTCCATTGAGCACTGGCACTGTATTCTCTTCAAAATACATATAAAAACAGCAAAAAGCCAAAGACTGGTAAGGAAATTTTACCATCAAGAAAGATGCATTTAGTGGGCGGGAGATATAAAAAGGTTAACTACCCCTGGCCTATCTGATCAAAAATGTTGCTGAATGTGCATAAAGTGTGCAACAAGTGTAGATTAACTGAGATTATCCAACAATGTTTTAAAATATTCTTAAATAAGTGGTTATAGTCTGTTTGCAATTACAGCCTACTGTAGTTCCAGGTGGAATGGAGCAGAATGTTGTAAAGTAAAACTATAGAGGAAGTGGGGAAATTACCTTCAGTGTGTACTCATTGTTATTTACAGTGGTGCCTCGCAAGACGAAATTAATTCGTTCCGCAAGTTTTTTCTTCTTGCGAGTTTTTCGTCTTGCGATGCACGGTTTCCCATAGGAATGCATTGAAAATCAATTAATGCGTTCCAAGGGAAACCGCCTTCAGACCAGGTCCGGGGACAGTCTCTCCCCGACCTCTTCTGAAGGCTGGGGGGGGGAACAAGCGCTTCTGAAGGCTGGGGGGCTGGGGGGGAACAAGGGCTTCGCTGCCGACCCCCAGCATTTTAAAATCTCACCGGGACACGGGGAGATTTTAAAATGCTGGGGGTCGGCAGCGAACGCTTCGCTGATCCCGGGACGGCAGGCAGATCTGCACCGCCATCCAGAGCGGGGCGGGACTTAGCGCCCCGCTCGGGATGGCGGCACAGATCTGCCTGCAGTCCTGGGACGGCAGACAGCTCTGCGCTGGCATCCAGAGCGGGGCGGGACTTAGCGCCCCGCTCGGGATGGCGGCACAGATCTGCCTGCAGTCCCGGGACGGCAGACAGCTCTGCGCTGGCATCCAGAGCGGGGCGGGACTTAGCGCCCCGCTCGGGATGGCGGCGCAGATGTGCCTGCAGTCCCGGGACGGCAGACAGCTCTGCGCTGGCATCCAGAGCGGGGCGGGACTTAGCGCCCCGCTCGGGATGGCGGCACAGATCTGCCTGCAGTCCCGGGACGGCAGACAGCTCTGCGCTGGCATCCAGAGCGGGGCGGGACTTAGCGCCCCGCCTGGGATGGCGGCGCAGATGTGCCTGCAAGTCCCGGGACTGCAGGCAGCTTTGCGCGGCCATCTGGAGCGGGGCGGGCTTCGCCCCCGTCTCCCGATGGCCGCGCAGAGCTGCGCTGATCCCGGGACGGCAGACAGCTCTGCACCGCCATCCCGAGCGGGGCGGGACTTAGCACCCCGCTCGGGATGGTGGCGCAGATCTGCCTGCAGTCCCGCGACTGCAGGCAGCTTTGCGCAGCCATCTGGAGCGGGGCGGGCTTCGCCCCCGGCTCCCGATGGCCGCGCAGAGCTGCGCTGATCCCGGGACGGCAGACAGCTCTGCGCCGCCATCCCGAGCGGGGCGGGACTTAGCACCCCGCTCGGGATGGTGGCGCAGATCTGCCTGCAGTCCCGCGACTGCAGGCAGCTTTGCGCGGCCATCTGGAGCGGGGCGGGCTTCGCCCCCGGCTCCCGATGGCCGCGCAGAGCTGCGCTGATCCCGGGACGGCAGACAGCTCTGCGCCGCCATCCCGAGCGGGGCGGGACTTAGCACCCCGCTCGTGATGGTGGCGCAGATCTGCCTGCAGTCCCGCGACTGCAGGCAGCTTTGCGCGGCCATCTGGAGCGGGGCGGGCTTCGCCCCCGGCTCCCGATGGCCGCGCAGAGCTGCGCTGATCCCGGGACGGCAGACAGCTCTGCGCCGGCATCCCGAGCGGGGCGGGACTTAGCGCCCCGCTCGGGATGGTGGCGCAGATCTGCCTGCAGTCCCGCGACTGCAGGCAGCTTTGCGCGGCCATCTGGAGCGGGGCGGGCTTCGCCCCCGGCTCCCGATGGCCGCGCAGAGCTGCGCTGATCCCGGGACGGCAGACAGCTCTGCGCCGCCATCCCGAGCGGGGCGGGACTTAGCGCCCCGCTCGGGATGGTGGCGCAGATCTGCCTGCAGTCCCGCGACTGCAGGCAGCTTTGCGCGGCCATCTGGAGCGGGGCGGGACTTCTCTGCTGTCCCGGGGAGATTTTAAAATGCTGGGGGTCGGCAGCGAACGCTTCGCTCCCGCCCGCCAGCATTTTAAGATCGCCCGGGGCAGCGGAGAAGTCTCCGCTGTCCCGGGAAGGCAGGCGGGGGGGAGCAAAGACTTTTGCGCCCCGCCGGCCTTCAGAAGAGGTCCAGGACCTCTTCTGAAGGCCGGCTGTGGGCGAAAGTCTTTGCTCCCGACCGCCAGCAATTTAAAACAGGTCCCCGGAGATTTCCCTATGGGCTTTCGTCTTGCGAAGCAAGCCCATAGGGAAATTCGTCTTGCGAAGCGCCTCCGAAACAGAAAACCCTTTCGTCTTGCGGGTTTTCCGTCTTGCGAGGCATTCGTCTTGCGGGGTACCACTGTATTTATTTATTTGTTTATATCCCACCTTTCTCACAGTGCAGGGCTCACAGCACACAATAAACAAAAATAATTAAATAAGTAACCCTATTAA